TCATTTGCTCTCCGATTTAGTTAACCAAGATGATATTGAAATTCATATCAGTTAAACTTAAAAGATTATAAATAGCAGTTGAAGAGACATATATGTAGAGTACGTTTTTGTACCAAGAAAGACCATTGAGATACAATTTGCATTTAAGAGAATTTGGTTCATATTATATGATTAACTCCTCAAATTCTTAATTTATTGCCGGTTGCTTTTCGTGTATTAACATTACATGAGTACTTTGGTAGGGTAAAACAAATTTATCATTTATTGTAACGTGAATTTACTTTTGGATATAAAATTATTATGAAAATATTGTTTAAGAGAGGGGTAAAACTGTCACTTAGTTTTAACTGGGTAATATAATAATTCAACTTTCACTTTTGGTCTTCCCACTTATAATATAGTATATGAATGAATCTAGTTTCTGCTCACGTGCGTTGCACGTATATGCCATATCAATTACCATAAATATTTTAAACATAACATGAATATTATTAAAACATATGTTAGGTTTAAATAAAAATTTTAAAAAAAAGTACAAGCTCAAAGGATGAAATGTTATCTCATTTTAGTGGCATAGGCGTTGAACCCAAAATGATGGAATATCTTCAAAACCTTCATTGAAAAGACCTGCTCAAAGTTTTCATACATTAATATGTAGTAATAAAAAGAGGGAGAAATTCAAAAATAGCCAGATTTACCACTGGTTGTTGAAAAATAGCCAAGTATCAAAAGTCATCGAAATTTAGCCACTTTAAATCTGAGCGAAAACACTGTTCAAAATCCGGAAAAATACGCCCGCAAATTTTACGGGAGTTCCACAATAAGTATGCTTGAACTCCCGTAAATTTTACGGGAGTTCCAGGATAACTATGCTGGAACTCCCGCAAATTTTACGGAAGTTCCAGCATAAGTATGCTTGAACTCCCGTAAATTTTACGGGAGTTCCAGGATAACTATGCTGGAACTCCCGCAAATTTTACGGAAGTTCCAACAAGTATAATTGTCCAGTATAATATACTGGAGTTTGGAGCACTGGTGCTCCAGTCTCCCGCAATTTTTACAGGAGTTAGCAAAATATACCGGTCCAGCATAATATGCTGGAGTTCGTACACAAATGCACCAGAACTCCCGTATATTATACTGGACCGGTCCCTGTTACAGCAAAATAGTGGCTATTTTTCATTGACTTGATAAACGCTGGCTATTTTTCATTGACCAGTGTGAAAACTGGCTATACCATGATATTTTACCATAAAAAGAGGTTCGAATTTTAAGAACCAATAATGTCCCGATAATTATTCTAAGCAATATATGTATTTAATCCATATTTCAATGGAGTACTCCGACCAATTTCACATGTTGTTAAGAAAATCAAAAATTACTTCTTTTAGTTAGGTTTGATAAACATCCATACATAAACTATAAAAGAACAAAAATTAAGAGAACGATAATTATTTTTCTTAATACAATTTTATTTTATTTTTAAATTAAAATATATGATGAGATATGGAGTTTATGAAAGATATATAATTCGCAGATGAAAAAGATCTGGCTCTATAAACATATAATGCAAGTTATCCGTTTTTTAATTAAAAAATAAGTAAACACCGAAAGCTCATAAAGGGCCAAATAGGTTTTTACCTGACAATTCCCAAAAAAGTATTCCATAGACTGAAAAAATAATACCAACTCTATCGCTGCCAAGAGGAAGATTTAAGACCAATCATTAGGTTCCGAAGAGTAAGAAAATATAATTAGATAAAGATAATCAAAAGGCTGAGTTCAAACATACAATGGTGAAAATTGACATTTAATTTCTTACCACATGCATGGAGTATAACATTTTTTCAACTATAATGCTTTTAATTTCAGAACAATATGTATGATTAGTGTACTATATGAGTTCTTCGGGATGAACATTTTTACAGGGAGGAACATCAAGGTCTAATTAGAAGAATGTTAGGAGTAGACGGTGTTTTACCCGAAAGCACATCAAAAAGCTCAATAAATTAAATATCATTGTTGTAGACTTGTTCAAGCACTACCAGTGCAAAGTGAAGTATTTCATGACCATTTATTTCCTTGTCGTAAAATGTTTGACACTACAAACAAATACAAATGGATTATCAGAACAATTAAATAGGACTAATTTGCTCTTCACATTAGAAAAAAGTCATAGCTACGCAAATAAAGATCTTTTACATGATACCGATACGAAGCAAACATATCATATAGCATTTCAATGTATACAGGTCCAAGCGTCCAGCAATTCCATGGAGAATAAAATATTATTTGGAAAGTGGTAGGTATATGACTTCAGATTTGTAAAAAAAATGTAAGAATAAAATAACAAAAAATAATGCTTGTACCTGGATCTCTTTTCAATAAGTAAATGTATTATAAGAGGACATTCTCGTGCTACTTCACTACCACATCAAAAAGCACAATTTAGTTGAAGCGCTACTTGTTTCTAATAAATAACTTTTCAAATTACAACTCCTCAAATTTTTCATGTACGTTTGAGAGAAAGGATGAGAAGGTTGGTTAATAATTAATTAAGATAATAATTTTTAACCTGATTGATTAAATGTACGTAGACACTTCAAGAGTTAAAATATTGCGGTATGTATTGGATATTGGAAGATGAAAGCAAGTCCAAGACATTGAATAAACATTACTAAGGGAGCACCGTTTCGCACTTTCATTTACCAATATCAAACGGTTCTAACTATTGAGTCTCTTAGTTAATTACCAGTTAGCTCATACATTGTACAATATTTACTACTCTATACATACATTTAGAGGGTAAATATAGAGGATATTTTGGTCCTTTAATTTTTGAAGGATATTTTAGTAAAATAACTTCACCTAAAAATCTTCACATTTATAATATAGTATGATATATGATATGAATGAATGATGATATGATATGATATCTGATATATGATATGATATATGATGATCTTTTTAAAAGTTACCAATTATATCTTATAACATATTTTTTTTTTGTTCAAGAATATGACAATTAGATTTTGCTAATTTAATTGAATCGACCCATTGAAGCTCTAATAAAGAGGAAAAAACAAAGAAGAAAAAATCAAAGAGAGAAAAACAAAGAAAAAACCAAAACAAGAAATACTGATTTTTGTTTAGTGAAAATTTAATAAATCGAACCAATCAACTCAAAACTGGGTAAAGCTAATGAATGTGCATCCCTATCTTCCAGGTTGTGAATACATCAGAAGGTGTTATAATGTCAACTTCAAATTTAACCAAAAAGAAAAAGAAAAAAACTTCAATGTGCTAAATTTCTATGAACTTAGACGAGCAGGTTGGCCAAAATTTAGCAAATAAGTGAAGAACTATTCTTAGATCCCGGATATTAGTAATTTTGACAAACTAAATTTATATTCAAAATAATGTGACATTTTCAAATACAAGAAATAGTATATTACTTGATCTTTCAACTCTACCTTTACTATTCCAATTAAGTGTTAGATTAGTGGGACGTTTAAGAGAAATAAAGAATAGTTCGAACGAGGGTTGGGATTAGCTCAAGTTAAATACTCTTCTGATTAAGGATGTGTAAAAATCTTAATGAAAGATAATATGAGCCGGAAGAGTATTAAGAGGGTGTTTGGCTAAGCTTATAAGCTGGTCAAACTGGCTTATAAGCACTTTTTGGCTTATCTACGCGTTTGGTAAAATTAAAAGTGCCTATAAGTTAAGTGCTTATAAGCCAAAAATAAGCCAAAAGCCATAAGTTGGTCTCCCCCAACTTATCAAATTTCAGCTTATAAGCACTTTAGGTTTGACCAAAATATTTACTATTCTATCCCTAAAATACTTCTTTTTAGAACAAAATTCTTCGTATACCCAGTTCGTCAGCTGCTTATTATTAATTTCAGCACTTTTATCCAAACACGTAACTGCTTATTTTTTAAATCAACTTCAGCACTTAAAAGTGCTTTTCAGCATCTAATGCTTATCAGCTACTCTAAATCAGCTAAGCCAAACGGGTTCTAAGTAGCAATGTAAACGAAATAAACTGGTGCTTATAAATTAAAGCTGAACCATGATATTTCGAAAAGAAAATATGATTTCAATTTAGATTCCTAACTATATTTGAATGGCTCCAACTGCAACTAACACCTAGTCACTCGTGTCAGATTCTCCTTTCCCATATTTCCTTTATTAACTATATATATAACACATGTATGATTCTTGTTGCATGATTTATCTAGCGACAAGTTAATAAAAGAAATTAACTAAAAAAAAATAATCATGTAAGAGCCATTCATTCATAAGCTTAGTTGGTCGTGATTTTTAAAAAAAATTTATTTACTACATAGGGGAGAAGAGAAAGGAAGAAAGAGATACTACGGTGCTAATGACGTTTAAACCCTCGACCAGTAACTAAGGGGTGTAAATCGACACCCCTTCGGCCTTTGCCGTTAAATTACACTGTACTGCTAGATAAATTTTTTTATTTTATATATATATTTATTATACAATAATTCCCCTTAATTTTACGGTATATTTAAATTTTTTTATTTTGATACTCCTTAGTGAAAACCCTGACTCCACTACTATCCTCGACCTCAACTGTAGAAGAGATGTAGCTCATAACCGACCTTGATGTGGCATAAATTAAATTTTGGTCCAGAATTCCCTTTTTCCTTTAAATTTTGGTGAGAAAACTAATGATAAGACACTTTTGAAATCAATAATTGGACCGGAAAAGTCCTAAAAGCAATATAAGATCTAATAAAAGATACTCCATCAGTCATTTTTCTTTCTGTGTAATCCTAAAGTGCTGTCACTATAAGAATCTTTATAAAAATTCAAATTTTTTAGGAGTTCTATACAACTTACTTTTACTATCATCCTCTTTTTAATTATTTTATAATACATTAATCAAAGTATAATACTTAACATATTCTATAGTCAACATCAAACTCTGATTTTCTAAACTTATTTTAATATTCATGCCTGTCAAAAGTACAGAATGAATAACCCAAAGAATGGACAATAAATTGGGTATAAACCATGAAAGACCAAGGTTCAAATTCAACAGAGGAAAAAAACGCTAGGTGAATTCTTCCCACTCGCTTGAGCCTTGATGGATAGAGTTATCCGGTACATATGCTGATGAAATGTAGCAAATACCTAACGAATAGTTGAAGTACGCGTGAGATCATCCTGACACAACTGTTACAAAAAAAGAAAAAAATAAGAGTAAGAGAAAGATATCTAACGCAGAAGAAGGTCAAAGGCTTCATAGTACCTGCATTCATTAATTATCCAATGAAGGACTGAAAATACTTATGATAAGAAGGCCATTAGAGAACAAAAGAGCCATAAAAAGGCTTACAAGCAGAGGAGAAGTTTTATTGTATGTCTCGCACAACTTACATTAGTTGTGTGAGGCTCCTTTTTGTCTCACAAATTTGTGGACCCCAATCTTACACTTTTGGGCCCACAAAAATCTGGGTCTACAAAACTGTGAGACAAAAAAGATGCCTTATACAATTAGTGTCAGTTGTATGAGACACAAAATAAAATTTTCCCAAGAAGAGTGAAGAAGACAAGGACAACTCACGTAAATTAATCCCTAACTTTGACTTGTATCCTCTTATATGTCTGCAACATCTCCATCAACCGCACCATATAGATATTGATGTTTTACCAGATAATAAACCAATAAATGCTTTTAACTTTGTTCAGTCTAAGTAGTGGTCGCCAACAATCAAGGACATTACAATTGACTTAAGAAATTACCTTGGACTTTGAGACAATGAGAATATGTTGTCACATTAACCATGAATAAATCACTAGCTATCGCTTTTGTCAACAATTGACACTCTCAACCTTTCTACCTTCTCATGTAGCAGAAATCTCTTCTACCTACTTGTTGGGTGTGCGAACAAAATCCCACATTGATAGCTTAAAAGTTTCCCCGGACCCTGCTACTAAGAAGGATGTTCACTTCTTAAAATATCCTTATATACGTAGGCCGGAACAAGGGAAGGGGTCAGATTTAGCCCGACGGCAGCAAGAGTAACAATACTGTTTATAATGCTACAGTAGCAGGTATAGTAAGCAAAGCCCAATACTGTAGAAGAAATTAAATGAGGTACTCCAGATACAAAGTATCGAAAGGTGTCTATAACTTCTCCCCCGGGGCCTACCTCCCCCCCCCCCTCCCCCCCCAACTTAGAGTAACTAGCTGGGGTGTAGGGATCTCATAATGGTGTGAGGTCTTTTGGAAAAAACCGTGCGGATTTGACCCAAAGCGGATAATATCACATCATGTAAAAAATATTTTTGGGCCGGTTTAGCCCAACACTACAATCAACAGCTAACTTCATGTTTTTGGCTTTATTTAACTTGCAAAACAACAGGATGCAGGTAGTGAAAACTACAAAATGTCAAGAAGTGATAGTTTATTTCTAAGTTTACCAAATCAAGAATGGAATTGGGATTGGGATTGGTTTTAGTCTCGTACACATTAAATGCTTACCGTGCAATGGAGTTAATTTTTCTTGTCTCCTGAAATAAATGCACCAATAAAATTTCAATGCTTGCAATAAAACACGTAAGGGTCAGAGCTTCTTACCCCTTCACCATCTTCATTGGATACAAAATGTTATATGTCAGGAACAAATAACATGGGTCATGCCATCGCATGAATAGACAATGTCAAGATCAAACTTAACTTCATGTTGATGAATCTTATGGTATATTTTCTCATTTGCATCATAAATCCATGTTCCTTTTATCTGAATGCAGCAGCAGCTATCCAGGCCATTGAGTATTAAAGACATGTAAGGACTACTATGAACAGTAAGCTTTACATGTACGCGTAATATTTATGTGCAGCAGCCTTAGCTTGCTCATCCGTGAAATGACCGAACGTCTGAAACAAATAAAAAATCAGACCATATGACTTAATCAGACAATTTTGACAATTACTCGGGAAATAATATCAAGATCGCTGGGAAGGTCTCTCACAAGAAATGGTAAAATAATATATAAACTGTTACTACTATACTTGACCTGATGGCCACTGTATCACATTATAAGAAGTGGAAGAAGAAAAACAATGATTTTTAATCTTTCTTTACTCACTTATTCGGTTGGAAACTGATCGCTTGTCAGAAATTTGTAATGAACTCTGAGATGTGTCTATTTCTTTTATCATCTTCATCATTGTTATCAGTTTTAATCGTGTTTTTGATTTTACATCGCCGCCATTCTTTGATTCTTGCTGCAGCACTTTGGAACTCTCAGGTTTGCTCGAGATTAGTGGTGGCGGAGACTTGACAGGGGTCCCTGTGCGAATTTGGTTGTGCTTCCTCTGCTTTTTTTCTCTCTCAGGTGACAACAGACCGTGTTAACATGACATCATTATAATACCAGCAAAAGCAGAATGCTCAAACCATCTCATTTTCCCTTTATCAAGAAAGACATATGTTTAATGTGATCTGATTATAATTTCTTACCAGCACTACATTTTCATATTTAAGTTTTTTTTTTTTTATTTTTTTAATTTTATATTTTCTTGTTGTAGATGTTTGACAATGTTCAAGTGCCAATTCTTGGTGGAAAGCAGGATAGATGACTCCCGTTGGCATATTTGTGAATATGTGGAGGCCAATGTGAATGATAACAAGGTCACTGCATTGAAAAGTTCAGTGGGATGTCAGTTCACATAAAGTGAGGGAAAAGAAATATCAGTAGCGAAGAGTGAGATCGAGTGTTAGCTGAGTGTAACTGCGACCTAAGCTACTCATTTTCTAATACTTAAATGCCATGTATTGATGGACTTGAATATCTGCCATTTTACACTTTACTAGCTCATATTATTTGCCAGGGATGAGTTAGAGTACCAGCTGAGCATAACCATCACATTCTTATCCTAAATGACCTACACTACTCTTTTCATCTTAAATATCTGCCATTTACAACGTACCAGCTGAACTTATCCAACTGGCAGCTATCCGACAGTTTGCAAGATCCAGGGCTACCTTAATTATAGGCAGACATAGTTCTGGAATATGCAAGGCAGCAAGACTCTGAAGTAAGAATTCTGAGCAGCATTAAAGATGTGCATCCAAGTAGCAGTATTTTTCAGGAGATTGCAGCTATTTCCTATTGTTTTCGCCAGAAAGTCAAGAACATTGGGAAAATACCTCCATCCCAATTAAGGGGGCAGTTGCACTGAGATAGTTTGCAACCAAAACAAGAAACGAAATTGGTGACTAGATTGAGAAATATATGCAATCAGAATCTAGAAGCAATGTTTAGGAATATATGGGAAAATACAACTCAAAAGGTGCTCAATGGGCATTTGAAAGGAGAAGTGGTTTTGGGGCTAGTATAGAAATTCAATTTTTAGAATATAGAGGTTCCAGTGGCCAACAGAAAGCAGATCTAAGCACGTAAGGGGATGATGAATTTACCATGTAGTTGGAACTTGGAACTACAGCAGTAAGAAGCTGATGTAAATAATTTATAATGATGATTCCCCCACCATTGTCCAACGAGCTCTTCATTGTTCGCCTTTAGCCACATGTTTTCAAATGTTGACGTAAACGATTCCTGAGCTTTTCTGATCCTGCCGAAGCCAAGAGAATAAGAACATGATCTGATGGAAATATGACAGGGGATTTGGATGATATCTGGCGCTACCTCTCCATGTGGTTGAAATGTGAAATCTGTCAAGTCTGAATTTGGACGTTGACTCCTTTCATCATGGTCCATGTGAAACGAGCACCTGTCATCAACTAGCTAAAGGCTATCAAAAAACTCTGAACACTTCATTGCTCTAGAGAGTCAAATTCCATCCCTTCTTCAAAATAACTCATCGTATTAAAATCTCCTCTTGACATCTAAGAACTCTTCAGTCCCAAAACAAACATGAAAGTTCATCCCAGAACTCCCTTTGGAACCCCTCACCCGTTGACCTGTACACATAACTCTAAGTTATATTTGTTATCCGCTACTGTGTTAAAACACAAAATCAGAAAACTGTTAGAAGAATAAAAGAAACTGGAAAACAGTAAAGAATAAGAAATATTCCGAGTCCACAATTTGCTTGTGTGTCCTTAAGGAATTTTAACCCCCTCACAAGTTGCCAAGGTAATGGATTAAATCCTCCCAGGATGAAACGGAATAAACCTTCCTGCAACAGTGGCAATACAAACTGCAGGGTACCAACGAACTTAAATAATGGAGCAAAATCACACTTACGAATTTGAGAGAGAGAGACTGCGAATTAGAATGCAGTATTTTCAGAAAGAAGGAAGTTCTGTAATATTTTTTAGTGTGTTAAAAACGAAGCCATGCCTCAGAATTTATAGGCAATTATTGGAAGAGGTGTGATGTTTGTTCTGGAAAAGGTGTCTGTTCAGAAGTTCACGCGTCCTGCCGCGGTCCTACCGCGGTTACGCCAGGACCGCGGCCAAACTAGCCTTCTGAATCTGCAGCAGTGTTCTGGCGCGGTCCCACCGCGGTTATGCCAGGACCGCGGCCAGACTATCCTTCTGAATCTTCAGCAGTGATCTGGCATTTAATTAATTATTAAATAATTAATTAAATAAATTTTGTCCAAAAATAATCTTATCGATCGATCATTTGACAAATCCAAATCCAAATCCAAATCCAAAGCCAAAGCCGAAGCCGAAGCCGAAGCCGAAGCCGAGCCGAGCAATGACGGCGCGAGGGTTCATTCTCTTCAACTCCTTTTAAGAGCTTTAAGAAGTGATTCTATATATAAGCACACAAATATAGTTGTCCATCACCAATGAGGGACAAAGTGCAAGTCAAAAGCTCACTTTATTCAAATTTTCATTTCCCTCCATTTTATTTCCCACCATTTCCAATTCACACTCTTAGACTTTAAAGCCCAATGCATAAAGTCTTTGAAGCCCAATGCCTTTAAAGTCCAACAATCCCCCACATGAATGGGAATGGCTGTAACAAGAATGATCATAGATGAAAGCTGTGTGATTTGCAAGTAAGGATTAATCGCATCTGGATAAGTAGGTTTCCCTTTGAACTTTCCGTAGTGAACATATGTCGGATATACTCGATCAATCGGTAGATTTGATATCTTTGAACCGTCGAACTTTAGTGTATACCTAGACAACCATATGTCACACAACCAACCCTTAACCGTCTTTTGGTTCTCATTGTTGTGTTCGTTTCAGCCATGAACACCTCCTGGTTTCATAAGTGCGTAGAGAATTGGCCTTACAGAATTCTCATTGAAGCGGCTTCCACTTCACACTTACATAGGTGATTCCTAAACGTGTAATCCTTTAGATTGACATTATTTGATAACTACCACATCAAACTTAGGTAATCATTAAAGAACGTGTAAAGTTCTATCCTTGTTACTGAACATTGTCTTCATCACGAGAAGGAACCAAAGATTTTACTTTGACAATGTTGAACCGGTCAATCACAACTTTGTTTGAGCTCCTTGAACCTAGATCTCGGAACATCCAAAATTCTAGGTAGAGTTACCGCCATGTTGACTTGTCCTCGGCCATAGTCCCATTCCCTTAGATGATTTCTGAACTCCCTTTCTAGTTAAGCCTTTTGTTAGCGGACCCGCCACATTATCCTTTGATCTTACATAATCAATAGTGATAATTCCACTAGAAAGTAGTTGTCTAACGGTGTTATGTCTTCTTCGTATATGACGAGACTTTCCGTTATCATAACGCTCCCTGCCCGTCCTATTGCAGCCTCACTATCGCAATGTATGCAAATAGGAGCCAAAGGTTTTGGCCAGAACGGAATGTCTTCTAAGAAATTTCGAAGCCATTCAGCTTCTTCACCGGCTTTATCCAAAGCTATAAACTCTGATTCCATTGTAGAGCGAGCGATGCACGTTTGTTTGGAAGACTTCCAAGATACTGCTCCTCCACCAACAGTAAAAACATATCCACTTGTGGACTTTATTTCTGTTGAGCCGGTTATCCAATTTGCATCATTATATCCTTCGATAACCGCAGGATATTTATTATAGTGCAAAGCGTAGTCTTGGGTATATTCCAAATATCCCAGAACTCGTTTCATTGCCACCCAGTGATGTTTGTTTGGATTACTTGTGAATCGACTAAGTTTACTTATTGCACAAGCTATATCAGGTCGTGTACAGTTCATGATGTACATTAAGCTTCCCAACACACGAGCATACTCCAATTGAGACGTACTTTCACCTTTATTCTTTATAAGATGATGGTTTAAGTCAATTGGAGTTCTTGCACTTCTAAATTCCAAGTGTTTGAATTTTTCAAGTACCATTTTCACGTAATGTGATTGAGACAAAGCTAGACCCTGAGGAGTCCTCTCGATTTTAATTCCTAGAATTACATCGGCAACTCCTAAGTCTTTCATATCAAACTTACTAGCAAGCATACGCTTAGTAGCTTGAATGTCGGCAATGTCTTTGCTCATTATTAGCATATCATCAACATATAAGCAAACAATGACTATATGATTTGGAACGTTCTTAATGTAAACACATTTATCACATTCATTAATCTTAAAGCCATTTGACAACATTGTTTGGTCAAATTTCGCATGCCATTGCTTAGGTGCTTGTTTTAGTCCATAAAGAGACTTAACAAGTCGACACACCTTCTTTTCTTTTCCTGGAACCACAAACCCTTCAGGTTGGTCCATGTAAATTTCTTCCTCTAAATCACCATTTAAGAAGGCCGTTTTTACATCCATTTGATGGATTTGAAGACCATATAAGGCGGCTAACGCTATTAGCATCCGAAATGGATGTAGTTCTTGTTACCAGCGAGTATGTGTCAAAATAGTCAAGACCTTCTCGCTGTCTAAATTCTTTGACAACAAGTCTTGCCTTGTATTTGTCAATAGTACCATCGTCTTTCATTTTCTTCTTGAAAATCCATTTAGAACCCAATGTTTTGTTACCTGGAGGAAAATCAACCAATTCCCAGGTATGGTTGCTCAATATGGTTCTATTTCACTATTGACAGCTTCTTTCCAATATTGTGCTTCTGAGGAAGACATTGCTTCCTTGAAGGTACGAGGCTCATTTTCTAGCAGGAAAGAAAATCTGGACCGAATGAAGTAGATGTCCGTTGATGTTTACTTCTTCTCGGATTTTCCTCATTAGGCATACCATCTGTTATTTCCTCCCGAGGTCGTTTTTACTTTTGGTAGGTCACTTCACTTTCATTTTTATACGGATAAATAGTTTCAAAGAATTTAGCATTATCTGATTCTATTATCGTATTAATGTGAATCTCAGGATTTTCTGATTTATGAACCAGAAAACGATATGCCTTACTATTGGTTACATATCCAATAAATACACAATCAACCGTTTTTGGACATATCTTAACCCTTTTAGGTTTAGGAACTTGTACCTTAGCTAAACATCCACACACTTTGAAGTATTTCAAGCTGGGCTTCCTTCCTTTCCATTTTTCATAAGGAATGGACTGTGTTTTACTATGAGGTACACGGTTGATTACTCGGTTAGCTGTAAGTATAGCTTCCCCCACAAGTTCTGTGGTAAACCAGAACTTATCAACAACGCATTCATCATCTCTTTCAACGTTCGATTCTTTCTCTCCGCAATTCCATTAGATTGTGGAGAGTAAGGGGCAGTTGTTTGGTGAATAATGCCATTTTCCAAACATATTTCTTCAAAAGGAGATTCATATTCGCCACCCCTATCACTTCTTATCATTTTGATCTTTTTGTTTAGTTGTGTTTCAACTTCACTCTTGTATTGCTTGAAAGCATCAATTGCCTCATCTTTACTATTAAGTAAATAAACATAGCAATATCTCGTGCTATCGTCAATACAAGTAATAAAATACTTTTTCCCACCGCGAGATGGTGTTGACTTCATGTCGCAAATATCTGTGTGAATTAAGTCTAAAGGACTTGAATTCCTTTCAACGGACTTATAAAGATGCTTAGCATACTTTGATTCCACACATATTTGACATTTGGAATTAATGCAATCAAATTTTGGGAATACTTCTAAATTTATCATTTTTCGCAATGTTTTGAAGTTGACGTGACCTAAGCGTGAATGCCATAAAGTGTTTGACTCAAGTAAGTAAGAAGAAGCATTAACTTTATTGATAAGAACTGCTATTACATTTAGCTTAAAAAGGCCCTCATTAAGGTAACCTTTTCCTACATACACATCATTCTTACTTAGTACAACACTATTAGAAACAAAAATACATTTAAATCCATTCTTGACAAGAAGTGAGGTAGACACAAGATTCTTGCGAATTTCTGGAACATGGAGGACTTGGTTTAGAGTCACTATTTTTCCCGACGTCATCTTCAACGCAATCTTGCCAACTCCTTCAATTTTGGCTGTAGACGAATTTCCCATGAAAATTGTCTTGTCGGGTCCTGCGGGGGCATAAGAAGAAAATAACTCCTTGTTAGTACAAACATGGCGGGTGGCTCCAGAATCTATCCACCATTCTTTAGGATTTCCTACCAAGTTGCATTCAGACAACATGGCACACAAGTCCTCCATTTCTTCAGCATTTTCAACCATGTTAGCTTGATTCTTCTTCTTCTTATCATTCTTTGGTGCACGACAATCCACGGCCTTATTGCCAGATTTTCCACAGTTGTGGCAATTACCCTTGAACTTTTTCTTGCTTGGGTAATTCTTTGGTCCAGAAGCCTTCTTTCTCTTCTTATTTTGTGGCGCCTCCTCAACAATGTTAGCCCTTATTATTGTCGAGTTTCCACGTGACTTCTTTTCAGCATTTTTGTTGTCTTCTTCTATCCTCAAACGAACAATCAAGTCTTCAAGTGTCATTTCCTTCCGCTTGTGTTTTAGATAGTTCTTAAAGTCCTTCCACAACGGAGGTAACTTCTCAATGAAAGCGGCAACTTGAAAGGCCTCATTTATGACCATACCTTCAGCAAGGAGGTCATGCACAATGACTTGTAATTCTTGGACTTGAGTTATGACCGACCTAGTGTCAATCATCTTGAAATCCAAAAACCTTGCAGCCACGAACTTCTTAAGTCCGGCATCCTCAGTCTTGTACTTCTTCTCAAGCGCATTCCATAACGCTTTTGAAGTTTCCATGACACTATAGACATTGTACAAGCTATCTTCCAAACAACTCAAAATGTAGTTTTTGCACAAGAAATCAGAATGTTTCCATGCTTCAGTTACAACAAATCGTTCGTCATCTGGAGTGCCTTCAGCCAGGACCGGAGGATCCTCCTTGATAAATCGCTGCAAACTCAACGTAGTAAGATAGAAGAGCATCTTCATTTGCCAACGTTTGAAGTCGATTCCGGAAAACTTTTCGGGTTTTTCTGCTGGTGCCATAGCATGAGCAGGAGTTGAACGGCTTGACGAGGCAGCAACATTCGTAACAGTAGCACCCGTTCCCGCAACATTTCCATTAGTTTGGTTTTCATTCGTCATTTTTCTGTAGAGTTGGAAACAAAACAGAACTTTGCTAAATCAGTGAAGTTTTGATATCTTCAAACTGAATACCAAACCAAACATACAACACGTAACAATGGTGAAGTTTTTATATACTTCAAACCCGTACGTTTATTATTCCGGTAAAGTTTTGATATACTTTAAACCGGACAGAACAATTATTGGAGTAGAAAGCACGAAGGCTTTAGTCTCCAAACCAGTATACAAAATATAGATAACAGTTTATAATATATATTTCAACACAGAAACGTTAGATAAAATTCCTTAAGCTTGTGATCCGCTACTGTGTTAAAACACAAAATCAGAAAACTGTTAGAAGAATAAAAGAAACTGGAAAACAGTAAAGAATAAGAAATATTCCGAGTCCACAATTTGCTTGTGTGTCGTTAAGGAATTTTAACCCCCTCACAAGTTGCCAAGGTAATGGATTAAATCCTCCCGGGATGAAACGGAATAAACCTTCCTGCAACAGTGGCAATACAAACTGCAGGATACCAACGAACTTAAAGAATGGAGCAAAATCACACTTACAAATTTGAGAGAGAGAGACTACAAATTAGAATGCAGTATTTTCAGAAAGAAAGAAGTTCTGTAATGTTTTTTAGTGTGTTAAAAATGAAGCCATGCCTCAGAATTTATAGGCAATTATTAGAAGAGGGGTGATGTTTGTTCTGGAAAAGGTGTCTGTTCAGAAGTTTACGCGTCCTGCCGCGGTTACACCAGGACCGCGGCCAAACTAGCCTTCTGAATCTGCAGCAGTGTTCTGGCGCGGTCCTACCGCGGTTACGCCAAGACCACGGCCAGACTTCTGAATCTTCAGCAGTGATCTGGCATTTAATTAATTATTAAATAATTAATTAAATAAATTTTGTCCAAAAATAATCTTATCGATCATTTGACAAAGCCAAAGCCAAAGCCAAAGCCGAGCCGAGCGACGACGACAACGGCGCGAGGGTTCATTCTCTTCAACTCCTTTTAAGAGCTTTAAGAAGTGATTCTATATATAAGCACACAAATGTAGTTGTCCCTCACCAATGAGGGACAAAGTGTAAGTCAAAAGCTCACTTTATTCAAATTTTCATTTCCCTCCATTTTATTTCCCACCATTTCCAATTCACACTCTTAGACTTTAAAGCCCAATGCTTAAAGTCTTTGAAGCCCAATGTCTTTAAAGTCCAACAATATTGCTATCCATACTCTTGAATGACAAAGCAATGGAGAAGCACCTTTTTTCACCTATACCAACTTCAACTTCCTCTCATCCTATGATACTAAACTCACTTCGATACTTCTCCTGGTTGGGATCGTTTCACTCAGGAATTTAAGGGAAGAACACTGTGTTTCAAAAACTTCCTGGACAGTTATTGGCATTCCTGGGTTGAATTTCATTGTTGAAAGTGAGAATTTATGTGTGAATATTACTAGGGGGTCAAGTATGACTTGAGTCCTAACTTGAAATGCCTAACAAGGTTCTGCATGAAAGAAGACATCGAGGGATGACTTTGCCCCCTCATGTTATCAGCAAAAGTTATCAAGTCTGACAAGTGAGGAAATTGCAACTCCTGAAGTGTTTCTGTCGGGGGAACAAATGATAGAATAAAAGAAGTTAACTGTATGAGGTAATGCCTTAATAAAACTCTACAGACAGGGTAGACAGGATATCTAGTCTATCGCATCTGTTTTTTATTTGTTTCAATCTGAAGTTATATTTAGCAGACAAATATGAACAAGGTAAATTGTCACAAAGTTGTTCATACTTGTTTATTCTCTCATAATTCATCCTGGTAAATGAGACATATCATCTAGAAATGTGTTTGGCCAGTAAGAACATGGGAATACACATGTTTTGGTAGACATATGCCACAATCCAGAAGATGCAATTTCATTTCACAACATAATAAAAGATCAGTCACTTATAAACACTACCAGACATCTGACAGGGCATAACGCGAGGTTAACTCATATATAAATACTGAAGCACCTCTCTCAGCAAACAGATGATGAATTTGTCCTTCACTTGTAGGGTGGTGTAGAACATATCTTCTGCAGATAAACATAATGATGGTTATCTCTTCCTTAAGCCATTGCCTTATACGTTACATCTTTGTCTTTCGACCTTGCCAATTCCTGTTGTGCATGCTGACTTACCCAAGTACTAGTATTGCAAGAATTTAACCAACTCCCTGGAAGCACCTAATAAAGTTCTCATAATCCACTTCTCATCCAAGCTTGGATGATAGTTGGGGATCATGTTAAACCCAATTTACACAACAGGATCTCACCTTACATATTAAGGGCAATTTAAGGACCAACAAGCAAGTATAGTCTGCATAAAAGAGAAATTTCTTCCTCAACCATAAACCATAGTAAGTTAGAACAACCCTTGGACCATCAGAGGTTGCACATTTCAGCGAAGTAGAAACATGAGGGATCTTTAGATGGAGGCCCTAGCTTCCATGATGTTTTTATATGTACATGATGAGATCTTAGAATAAGGTCTAAGGATTGTGAAAGACGATTTTCCCTAGAAATATAGGTTACCATTAGCAAACAATTTTATTGTTTTAAGCTTTTAGCAGGTTTCTGTCCGTTTGAAAAAATATGTGTCATGCAAAGTCTTATCCATGAGGAGATAAAAATGATGAAGACGTTCATGTAATGCAAAGCTCGTATTCCGAAGACTAAGTTCAGCATTGAGATATATAAAATGAAAAAAGAAGAATCACAAGTGGAGTAGCAAGCATGATCATGATGTTTAAGTTAATGTCATCATTTCCTCAATTTATGGATTCTATAACTCAACTTGGATTTTGGGACATTAGAAATCCCACCATAAAAACAAATGTTCTCTGTGTCACTAAAGGCTGCAAGGAACTTCCTTCAAGGGATTGGACCAGCAACTTGGAAGTTGGGATGTTCTTCTGAATGAAAACATTTGACGGTAGAAGACCACGTGAAATCGAGCAGATAAATTTTTTAGTTGATGAATGCCATATTCTCAAAGTTTCCAAGAGAGGGCAATAAAGACGCAAAACAAGAAAGCCTCACATAATGACACCTTACTGCAATAAAAATAGCAATGCTGTTATCAATTCTTTATATTGAAGAAAATACATCAAGCATCTCAAATTTCCTGGCGAACATCATTTCCTATTTATGACATAAAAGATGTGGGCAGAGTTACCTGGAAACTGTGCTGGTGGGAGGTAGAAGGTACTCGATAGAATAGTTGAGGTGCGCGCAAGCTGACCCGGACGCCACCATCATCCACAAAAAGGGAAAAAAAAGGTATTTCCATTTTTACTTCTAGAAAATATCAATATCTCCGAATTAAGTTTGTAAGGCTCACAAATCAACACCTTAATGCAATGATGCAGCAATGTTGCTATCAAAACTATTCAACAAAAATGCATCAGTCCTATTTCGTAGGAAACAACATTCCTGTGACTTGAAAACACGATATCAAGTTGTACTTCAATGCATGACCAATAACTCCATATTAGTAACAGTAGCAGATAATTTTGTGAAATGAAAATAGGAATGTAAAGAAAGAAAAGCAACCTCAATGCAATGATACAATAACATTGTTATTGAAACCAAATATTTCTAGAAAATACATCAACAATCTCCTTTTAGTAGGAAACATCACTGATCACTCCTATGACAGGAAAGATCCACCATCCACTAGTACTTCAGCACATGCTCAATATCTTCTTATTAGCAGGAGTAAAGTGAGTTTTGTGCAATAAAAAGAAAGATGCGAAATAATTAAAGGCTTATGTAATGACACCTTAACGATCAAACAACAACATTATCAAAAACTTAATATTGAAGAAATACATCAAGCATCTCCTAATTCTCAGGAAACACTATTTCCTACGACATAAAAAGTATAATATCCACTTTTACTTCTATACACGAGTAAGCTTTGTAAAATGAAAATAAAGACGTAAAATACAAAAGGCTCAAATGAAAATAGCTTAATGGAATGGCACAGCCAAGTTGTTATCAAACATTTATACTGAAGAAACTACATCAAGCATCCCCAATTTCCCCGGATATCATTTCCATGACATGAAAAATCTAACATTCGCTTTTACTTCTAGAAAAGGTAGATATCTCTGTATTAGTAACTTGTTATAGTAAGTCTTGTAAAATGGAAATAAAGATGTAAAACACGAATGTCTCATACACGAGACCTTAACACGATGACACAACAATGTTATTACCAAAACTTTATATTGAAAAAATCACATCGAGCATCCCCTATTACCTAGGACACATTGTTACCTATGACATGAAAAATCTAATAGCTCTGTAGTGTACCTGCTAGCATCAAGCTAATAACATGAAGAAATAGCCGATTGGGGTATTTTGTTAACAATTCCATTCACAGTTTATGATTGTCTCCTTTTAAGTAAATTAGTTCTGATATTAACAAATACATGTTTCACTATCTAGTTTTGTTTTGTATATACACTTGAAGAAAATGATGAAATCTTTGAGGCAGAGAAAAAGATTTGAGGATCAGGCCAAGCAGACCTCGATTTCTCGAAAGTCCTAATCCTAGACATCCCTAGTCAGAGAAAGGCTATTGGTAAATCATTTAAACCAACACCTTCTATGCATGCTCGAAGGAGAGGATGGTGAAAATTTTGTAAAATAGAAGTAAAGATGTATAACGGGGAAGGGCTCACATAACACCACCTTAATGTAACAATGTTTAATAAAAAATGAACAGTGAAGAAAATATGTCAAGCATCTTTTGTAATTCTTGGGAAACATTTTCCTAAGACATGAAAAATCTAACATTACCTTACTGCTGAACATGATCCAATATCTGCGTATTAATTCCTCCTTGGTAAGTCTCGTAAAATGGATATACCTTTAGAACTAGTTGTACTAATTAATTTTTTGAAAAGGCTAGTTGTACTAATTAATATCGAATCCAATACAAGTATAGTGCTACATATGACTCTTAGGACAAAAGCAGTCTACATACTTGTCAAGAAAACTCTGGTATTTTCACTTGAAGGTATCTTTTTTGGAAATGATTTCATAGAATAACCTCAATTGGTGTTTAAAGAGTAACAAATTAATGAAGTTATCGACAAGATAAATAATTAATTCACATGAAAAACAAGATATCTCACACACCCAGAAAAAAAAAAAAAACAAAGAAGCCACAGAAAAGTGAAATCTTGAACAACATAGAAATTAAAAGATATGATCTTGTTTAAGGGTACCTCAGTTTTAGAGACAGTAATGGTGTATTTCCCCTCATGTGGCGTGAAAGAGATCACAAATGAATCAATTTTAGGCCGAACCCAACCCACTTTAATAGCTACTGTCAGGTTTGACCTTTGGCCACCTTAGATTTGGTCTTAGTAGCCATACGTTATTTTTTTTTAATCAATTAAGTATTGGATTAAGGATTCATCAACATCATCATTCATTTCTGTGGTGAAATTTGGTGGGTTTAACTGTTTCTAAATTTAGTTTGGTGGAGTACTCACAGACATTAGCGGCAAAAAGCTGGTAAGTACGTTACAGCCTGATCATAATTCATAACTCATAATGTGTTATGGAAGATGAAATAGGGAACTAGCCATAGAATGGCCAATGGGGGTAAATTTCTCAACAAGCCCTGTACTATTCCCCAAAGGTAAAAACATGCCATAGTAGTGGAAGATCGCCGTTTTGTGTTTTGTTTTGCGTTACCAAACTTTTTTAAACTCTACTCCATGCCTAAAGAAACCCTCAATTCCCAAATTCTTTTTATTTAACTTAAAATTAGGGAAAAATTTGAATAATACTAAGCAAGAAAAATCCACTTGGATGGGAATGACCAATCTGTTGATGGGGATTTATTTTCTTTACGAGATTTTTTCTATATAATTTTTGAAGATCGATACAGTCCAAAAATTACTCAGAATTTTGTATTGCAGTTGAACCGAATTTCTTTCTTCGAAAGAGAGTTAGTAGTAATTACCTTGAGTACATGAAGTGGAACCTTGTTCATCGGGTTTTTAATTCTACTCTTAAGTTCAGGCGACTTCAGGTTCATTTTTTTGTGTTTCAGCTACAATCTTGTAAATTATTGTCATACAATGAGAAGTTCAAATTTTTGTTTTGAGTGTTCACATTTCAGCTATTAAACTTGTAAATTATTATCATACAATGAACATTTTCAATTATTAGACTTGTAAATTATTGATACATAATGTTTGGTTAAAAATTCATGTTTAACACATAAAATGCAAGGTAATTAATGTACTAAAATATGGAATTATCGCCACACATCACTCACTATGTATTAATCAGTAAATGAAGCAATAAACGGTACTTTAACACTCTCCCTTACCATGTAGTAATGAATATAAAATTTGGGAGATAGATAATACAAGAATAAACCTTACGTCAATAAGGGTTCCAACATACCAAACCTCAATTTCCAAGAATACTCAACCATCACAATTATATTCATAAATGTGGAAGAACGAGCAAAATAAGGAATAAACTAATCTACGCATAGATATCATAAGTAAAAAAGGCGATAAATTACAAGCAACAAGTCCCACCCGCATGCTTTAACCTAACAACAACACATAAGTACTCGTCACCTCACATATACGTTGTACCTACACATTTAAACACGTAACAAATAGGCAAATAAGTCCTAACTCTCAAGTCAAGGTTAATCAGGACACTTACCTCACTCCGCAATCGACTCAAAGCTCAACCACGGCCTTGCCTTTCGAACAAGCTTTCGAACCACCAAATCTAGCAAATCATTAACCAAACAATTCAAAATAAGCCTTAGGAACTATCCACGGATGAAAGAGGTTCAATTTAGGTCATTATTAAAAAAGTCAACATCAGGCCCGCTTGGTCGAAACCCAAAATTCGGACCAAACCCAATTACTCATTCACTCCCGAGCCCGATTATGTAATTTATTTCGAAATCTAACCTCAATTCGAGGCCTAAATTCCAATTTTACAAAAATTTCTAATTCTACCCAAATCCCAATTTCTACCATGAAAATCCTGGATTTAAGGTTGAAATCTTATGAAATGTAGTCGGTAATTGAAAGAAAAGTAGGTTAGAGTAACTTACCAATGAATAGAGGAAGAAAAGCTCTTGGAAAAATCACCTCTAAGGTTTTTAGAGTTGAAAATTTGAAAGAATGAGCAAAATCCCGTTTTTCCCTTCTTATGTCTAGGCGCAGATGTCCCAATTACGACCTGGGGTTCGTAATTGCGAACCTCGCAAATGCGAGATTTTCTTCGCAATGCGAAACAACCCACACCACTGCTATCATTGCATTTGCAATGATTTTTCGCAAATGTGAACTTGGATTTACCACAAATGCGACCAAAGTGATCGCAATTGCGAACTAGCTTCCCCCAGCCCCCATCACAAATATGAACTATTTGTTCACAAATGCGAACCTGCCTCTATGGCAAATGCGACAGAGTACTCGTAAATGCGAGAAACCAGCTCCCTTGCCCATGCTCACAAATGTGAAGTCTCCTTCGCAAATGCGAGCCTCGCATTTGCGAAGTCTGCAGCACCAGAACACACATGCACCAACATTAACTCTAAGTCTAAAACTACTCCGAAACCTATTATAAACTCACCCAAGTCCTTGGGGCTCTAAACCAAATATGCACACAAGTCCAATAACATTATACGAACTCGCTCGCACGATCACAACATCAAAATAACACCTAGAACTACAAATCGGACACCAAAATGAATGAATTTTTCAATGAACCTTAATAATTTTCATTTTAAGAACCGGATGTCCTAATCACGTCAAATCAATTCCGTTTTGCACCAAAATTTTGCAGAGAAGTCATAAATACCGTAATCAACCTATACCAAGCTCCGGAACCAAAATCCAAACCCGGCAGTAACAAAGTCAAACTTCGATCAAATTTATAAGTTCTTTAAACTTTTAAACTTCAAATTTTCAACAAATTGCGATAACTTGAGTTAAAGACCTCCGAATTCGATTCCGGACATACGCCCAAATCCGAAATCACGGTACGGAACCACCAGGACCGTCAAAATACGGATCTGGATCTATTTGTTCAAAATATTGACCGAAGTCAACTCAAATAAATTTCTAAAGCACGAATTCACATTTTAATCAATTTTTCACATAAAAGCCTTCCGAAAAAAGACGCGGAATGAGCATGCAAATCGTGGAGGATCAAAAGGAGCTATTTGAAGTTTTGAAACACCGAATTATGGGACAAAACTCTAGATGACCTATCGGGTCATCACAGAAAGTAACATAATCTAAAAATACTATAGGCCATGCTAAAATAAATATAGGTATTAAGTACTAATAATTACATAACTAAGCATTAAGGAAAAAGATAAACTAAGTTATGCATTTGCATTATAAATCAATGTAAAACTAAAATATAGATATTCAACACTATCATCATTTCTAGTATTGACTTGAATTTCGTTTGTTAGCATTAATATTGATTTGAACTATGTTTGAGTTACTACATTTATGGGCTATAAAATTTATTTAACATTCAAGAATGTTAAGTCCAAACCTGAAATAATATGTTAAAAGATAAAACTATGAAAAAATTTAAGAAATATTTATAAATTACAACAGCAACAACAACAACCCAGTAAAATCCCATTAGTGGGGTCTGGGGAGGGTAGTGTGTACGCAGACCTTACCCCTACCCCGAAGGAGTAGAGATGCTGTTTCCAAAAGACCCTTGGCTCAAGAAAATAAATATTTATAAATTACATTACAATAAATATTTATATGTATAAAATATTTTTAAAAATTGTAGATATATATGATCGGCTTGGTTTGGTTCTGGTTTGACTATTTTTAGTTAAACCAAACCAAACCAATTATGGTCGGATTTATCTTTTCAATACCACATCAGGTAAGCAAGCCACAATCGGGTTTTTCTTTTTTGATTTGACACAAATTATCGATTTGATGCGATTCATCGGTTCTTTTTAGTGTACACCATACTCTTATGCAACAATGCATCTTTGAAATATTTTGATGGTCAACTAGCTATCAAATTGATATTTGATTCCGACCAATTTTCATCCACTTTTTAGCTTAAGATTTAGTCAAATTTCGAATCTAAAACACTATTGATAAACTTTTATTGATTGACATTCCATCCACCATACTCCCCATTTCCCGGTCTAGAGAACTGAAATGAAGCAGATAAGATTGGATTTTTTTTATTTTTAATTTAGTTAAATTGGTTTAGCTTGAACCCCCACCTTATATATTAAAATCTAAAAAGAGAATACATACGGAAGGGGAATAAAACCTAACCTCTACTATAAAAACAAGAGATGAATTGAACATTTCCAATACTGAAAAATATGTGTACAATTGTTCTAAATTGTGAATAGGATAGACAGTGACGCTTTCACATGTGAATAGAGAGGACTCCTCTCTTTACCATTTGAGTAACCAAGACAAAAAATAAACATTATACTCATTATTAGTCTATCCATAACATCACTGTACAAAATATATTCTTGGGCCTTCTAATTCTGAAGTCTAAAACCTGCCGTTTGTCCAGTAGGTACAATCCTCTAGCTTGAGCTGGTAAGTCCTGATTATTCCAGAACTATGTACAAAATATATTTTGAGTTGTAGCTTCTTTCAACTCAAAAGAATATATTCTGTCATGCACTTCATAGAACTTTGTAGGAAATGAAAGGGACGGAAGCATTTTATGGATTAAGCAAATTGGCAATGAAAGGTCAACCACTTGATGTCAAAATGAATCTGGAATTCCTTTTTGAGCTATAAATAGAGAACCAAGAAGAAGTAAATTGTCCACAACTCATTTTTAAGGCAATTCCAGAGGAACTAAATAAAATGTATAGAAGAGAGGGCTTACCTGAGGAGAAGAGTCTTTGTTTATTAGCCAAGGATGACTTGCCTACATACTACCCTCCTCCTCAAAGGGGTACAGTGCTATTAATAATTTAGCATAAAACCACTGTTTTGGGGTTGAAATGATAGGCAGTCATCTTGGGCTATATTGACAGGCTATTCTGCATCATGTTAGGCCTCTTCTTCTCTCAATTGTGCCAAACATCATAACAAGTTCAATGTTCTGGGAGAAGTACATAATTGAATTAAATAACATTTGTACTAGATTTTTGTCACGACCCGGATTTCTCCACCCTCGGGGTTCGTGATGACGCCTACTCGTAGAAGCCATGCAAGCCACAAATCATAAACTCTTACCTACTTTATTTTAAATCCTTTTATCAATCATGACGACGAACGTTAAATATTTAAATGATAGCGGAATATGAAATTAAAGCGGAAGACTTAAATTAAATAAGCTGAACAATAATGCGGAATTCAATATGTGCGTCTACCCAAGAACTGGTGTCACATTATCCACGGACTACTAAGAGTACTAAATACAATCGTTTGAAAGAAATATAACACTGTTTGCCTTGAAAACATGAGATAACAGAATGAAATATAAGATAGAGGAGACGCCGGGCCTGCGGACGCGTGCAAGGCTACCTCGGAGTCTTGATGGACTGAAAGCTGGCTCCCGAGCTACCGTTGCGGTCCGGTAACTGGATCTGTGAAAAAGAGCACAAAGTGTAGTATCAGCACAACCGACCCCATGTGCTGGTAAGTGCCTAGCCTAACCTCGGCGAAGTAGTGACGAGGCTAGGACCAGACTATCAAATAAACCTGTGCAGTTATATAATATACAGCAAAAAGTAAAGCAGGTATAAGCAAGTAAGGATGGGAGGGGGAAACATGCTTCGGGGAATAACAGGTAAAAATAGAATATCAAGAGAACTATAAAGGAATCAAAATCCAACCACTAGCAAGAATAAGGAAAACAAAGGCAGATTTCACTTTCTTTTCACATCTTGTTGCAGGCGTGCAACCCGATCCCATTTCATTATATCTCGTGGTAGGCGTACCGCCCGCTCCCATTTCATATTGTTGCGGCGTGCAACCCGATCCATATATATAATATTGTTGCGATGTGCAACCCGATCCGTATATATAATATTGTTGCGACGTGAAAACCGATCCATATATATAATATTGTTGCGGCGTGCAACCCGATCCATATATATAATATTGTTGCGGCGTACAACCCGATCCATATATAATATTGTTGCGGCGTGCAACCCAATCCATATATAATATTGTTGCGGCGTGCAACCCGATCCATATATATAATAGTTACAATTATAACGAGAGTCCCGACAAGGGATCAAAAGGTCTACACTATCCCGGCAAGGGAAAAAGAAACAACTATACCTAACTTGTTCCAACATTTAACTACCTCCGCTAAAACCAAACTTGTTACGACACCTAACTACCTCAGCTATACCCAAACTTATTACAACACCTAACTACCTCAGCTATACCCAAACTTGTTACAACACCTAACTACCTCAGCTATACCCGAACTTGTTACAACATCTAACTACCTCAGCTATAACCATAATCCTTACCTAACATAAAGAATCGTTAACCTAAGTATCCGTAATATCAATTAAGAACACAATGCAAGGGTGACACAACTCAACAATAGCCCGGCAAGGGGGCAACATAATGATCTCTTCTCTTTCTCATTTTTACTTCACAATTCACTTCACAACTCGAGCCACCGCTCTAGAGGTTCAATTATCACTTATACTATCACAATTCGTTATACAACTGGAGCCAACGCTCCTCAATGTTCGTAGGTCACGATTCTTTCCACAACTTTTCACAACAAATATAAATCTTCACCAAGGCATGAATAATACAACGAAGTCATGAAAATCACAATATAAGACTCACGGTCATGCTTGACACTAACGTATTGATACTCGTCACCATGCCTCTACGTCGTACTCAACAATTATCACATAGCAAATAGGACTCAACTCCTAATCCCTCAAGCTAAGGTTAGACCAAACACTTACCTCGATGCCTTGAACACAACTCAAGTCTCAATTATAGCTTTACCCCTTGATTCCACCGCCAATTCGCTCGTATCTAATCACAAATTACTTAATTACATCAATAAGTGCTAAATGAATCAACCCCAATGCATGAAAATGAGTTTTCCAAAGTTTTACCCAAAAAGTCAAAAATCGCCCCCGGGCCCACGTAGTCAAAACCCGATGTTCGAACCGAAACCCGATTACCCATTCCCCCACGAACTCAAATATATAATTTGTTTTGAAATCGGACCTCAAATTGAGGTCCAAATCCCCAATTTTTGAAAAACCTAGGTTCTACCCAAAACACCCAATTTTCCCCATGAAAATCTTTGATTTTAGGTTGAAATCATGTTGAAAGATGTTAATGACTGAAAGAAATGAGTAAAAACTAACTTATAATTGATTTGGAAGAAGACTTGTCCTTGGAAAATCGCCTAAGTGTGTTTGGGTTTGAGAAAATATGAAAAATGGGGTTCAAAATCGTTTAAGTGTAAAATTGCAGGTCTCTGATATGGGAATGCGAACAGGGGTTCGCAATTGCGAACCTCGACCTGCTGATGTGGGAATTGCGAGAATAATGTTCGCATTTGCGAACACTGACGAAATCCAGGACTTTCGCATTTGCGAAATTTGCATCGCATTTGCGATACCTCAGCTTCCCCAGCCATCATCGCATTTGCGAGAGGCTGTTCGCAATTGCGATATCGTTTTTGCGATGATGGAGTCGCATTTGCAACTCAGGCTGCCAATCCTCAGATTCGCATTTGCGATTAATTTGCCGCATTTGCGGGCTCGCAATTGTGAGCCTGGCTTCGCAGCAGGTCAGTTCATACCAGCAAATTTTAAGTCCAAAAATGCAACCCGTGCCTATCCAAAACTCACCCGAGCCCTCAGGGCTCCAAACCAAATATACACACAACCTCAAAAACATCCTACGGACTTATTCGTGCGATCAAATCGCCAAACTAACATCATACACATTGAATTAAACCTCAAAATCCAAGAATTATCTTTCAAACTTCATAAAACATCAATTTTTCCAATTTAGGTCCGAATCACGTAAAACGACGTCCGTTTTTCACCAAATTTCACAGAAACATCTTAAATCATATATAAGACTTGTACCGGGCGCCGGAACCAAAATACGGGCCCGATACCATCGCTTTCTAATCAGATTTCATTTCTAATTTTCTTAAACATTTCCAGAAAACAATTTTTCTAAAAAATTCATTTCTCGGGCTTGGGACCTCGGAATTCGATTCCGAGCATATGCCCAAGTCCCATATTTTCATACGGACCCTCGGGGACTGTCAAATCACGCGTCCGGCTCCGTTTACCCAAACATTGACCAAGGTCAAATTTATTCATTTTAACATCAAAACTTAGCATTTTTCATAGAATTTCATATTTAAGCTTTCCGGCTACGCAGGTGATGACCCTTGGAGTCATAGAATTTAATTAAAAGCAGGTGAGGACCCTTTGGGTCGTCACATTCTCCACCTCTAAAACAACCGTTCGTCCTCGAACGGACCGAAGAAAGAAGTACCTGAGTCGGAGAAAAGATGGGGATAATGGCTCCGCATATCAGACTCGGACTCCCAAGTCGATGCCTCAGGAGGCCGACCTCTCCACTGAACACGAATAGAAGGAAAACTCTTCGATCTCAACTGACGAATCTGCCGGTCTAGAATAGCTACCGGCTCCTCCTCATAAGACAAGTCCTTGTCCAACTGGGCAGTGCTGAAATCTAACACGTGGGATGGATCGCCGTGATATTCCGAAGCATGGACACATGAAAAACTGGATGCATGGCTGATAAGCTCGGTGGCAATGCAAGTCTATAAGCCACCTCTCCCACTCGATCAAAAATCACAAACTGACAAATGAACCTAGGGCTAAGCTTGCCCTTCTTCCCAAATCTCATCACGCCCTTCATAGGCGGCACTCGGAGCAATACCCGCTCACCAACCATAAAAGCCACATCTCGAACCTTGCGGTCTGCATAACTCTTTTGCCTGAACTGAGCTGTACGAAGCCTATCCTGAATGACCCTGACCTTGTCCAAGGCCTCCTGAACCGGATCTGTACCCAACAACCGAGCCTCTCCGGGCTCAAACCACCCAACCGGAGACCGACACCGCCTACCATATAAAGCCTCATAAGGAGCCATCTGGATACTCGACTGGTAGCTGTTGTTGTAGGGAAACTCCGCTAAAGGCAAAAACTGATCCCAGGAACTTCCAAAGTCAATGACACAAGCTCGGAGCATATCCTCCAAAAATCTGAATGGTCTGCTCGGACTCATCGTCCGTCTGGGGATGAAATGCTGTGCTCACTCAACCCGTGTGCCCAACTCTCGCTGAACTGCTCTCCAAAAGCGCGAGGTAAACAGTGTACCCCGGTCCGAAATGATAGATATGGGCACACCATGAGGATGAACAATCTCCTGAATGTAGATCTCAGCCAACCTCTCAGAAGAATAGGAGACTGCCACAGGAATGAAATGCCCTGACTTGGTCAGCCTATCAACAATGACCCATACTGCGTCGAACTTCTCCCGAGTCTGCGGGAGTCCAGTAACGAAGTCCATGGTGATCCGCTCCCACTTCCACTCGGGAAGCTCAATCCTCTGAAATGAACCACCGCGCCTCTGATGCTCGTACTTAACCTATTGACAATTCAAACACCGAGCCACATATGCAACAATATCCTTCTTCATTCTCCGCCACCAATAATGCTGCCGAAAATCCTGATACATCTTCGCGGCGCCCGGATGAATAGACTACCGGGAGCTATGGGCCTCCTCTAAAATCAACTCTCGGAGCCCATCCACATTAGGCACACATACTTGACCCTGTAATCTCAAAACTCCATCATCATCTAAGGTAAACTGTCTGGCACCTCCGCGCTGTACCGTGTCTCCAAGGACACAGAAATGGGGTTTATCATACTGCCGATCACGGATACGCTCTAATAATGAAGAACGAGCGACCGTGCAAGCTAACACACGACTGGGCTCAGAAACATCCAAAGCAAGCGGCCTCTCGTCGACCGGAATATAAGCAAGACTGCCCATACT